GAGAAGGCGCCCTCTTTCCAATGGTCTGCCAGCTTGGCGTCAGTATCCTCTTCTGATCGATATTTCCTCGATCTTTGCGGTCTTCTCCTTACCTTTTCTGACTCTTTCCATTTAACTGTGAAATCACAGGAGGGAATAAGCATTAAGAGGAACTCACATTTAAGCTGCTACATGCAAATACCATCAATTCTTTCAGAGGTTCGGGAAAGTTCTGGAAGCTTCTGGAAGGCAGAGATTGTTCTTTGTGCTGCCGCTCCTTCCAAACAACCAGGTGAGGCGTCTAAATGTGGGTAAGCTGACCACTTGCCAGTCACATGCAGGGAGAATTGAGGGGGGTCCTGGCTCTCCACCTGCTACTGCCTGAGGACATGGGCAGGAGGGACTAAAGTTACCATGAGCTATTGGTTCCATTGTGTAGAGGCCAATGGAACTGACGAGAAAGCCCAGAGCTAGATCCACACACATAGGGGACTTAATAGATGCCAGAGGTGGCATTTCCAATCAGTGGGGAGGAATGGACTAGTCAATTAATTATATTGACGATCTACTTGCAGGCAAAGGAAACTATCCGACACCTCATGCCATATGCAGAATGAACTGCAGGCTAAAGGTGGGAAACAAAATCTTCAAAATCATGAGAAGATACATGGGAGACTATACTGACATCCTGAGGAGGAAAGATTTCTTAAACATTACTCAGTCTGTGATATTTCTCATGTATGTCACGGACAATGCATAATTATCCAGAAGATGTAAAATATAAAGCTTGTTAATCCCTTAGAAAAATTTGAAACACAACAGAAAAATAAGCAGAGATAGCTGGCTGGTGTGGCTCAATAGTTGAGCATTGAACCAGGAGGTCATGGTTCGATTCCCTGTCAGCGCACATGCCCAGGTTGTGGGCTCGATCCCCAGTAGGGGGCGTGCAGGAGGCAGCTGATCAATGATTCTTTCATCATTGATATTTCTATTGCTCTCTCCCTCTCCCTTTCTCTCTCTGAAATCAATAAAAACATATTTTAAAAAAATAAGCAAAGATATAAGGATAGCCAGATCATATAAGAGTGTGATCAAATAAGCATATGAGATGCTCTCAAACCCACTAGCAATCAGTGACTAAGCCCCCAACTGTGTCAAGCATGGGTGATGACGTGGAGAAAGAGGAATTCTCAGGACTTCTGTCAGGAGGGCAAATAGGTACAACCCAGTGGGTGAACTGGCAGCATCCTGAGGAGTAATGGAGTTTCATGCCGGGGGTGTTTCCCTGCATCTAGAAGGGTTCAGGAATCTGGAGAAGGGGCTGCGAGTAAATTAATAAAGAGACTAGACATGAAATATAAATTTGGAAGGCATTTTGGGGAGCCAGAGGAAACCCTAGCCTCAGTAACCAAGTTCTCTGGACCCCTAGCTTTTTATTAACACAAATTGCCCTAAAGCAAAGCAGATATACATATCAAAGGTAAGGTTTGGTATACAGTAGGCATTGTCAGTTGGGGGAACTGCCTTGGGCTGTTCTAGTAGCAGGCAATATATGCAGATTTTCAGGTTTGGGGAAATGCTTTCAGCTATTCCAGCAGGCAATAATATGCATCTCCAACCATGCTGAAGCCTCAAGGTCCACCAACCTTTTGATGAACTTCTTGCATTTATGACTTGCTGGAATTAGCTTCCAGCAGTTTCATACGCCTGGCAACCATGCTGGGCAATTCCCTACACCAGCGATTTTCAACCTTTTTTATCTCATGGCACACATAAACTAATAACTAAAATTCTGCAGCACACCAAAAAAAAATTCTATATTTTGCTGATCTGACCAAAAAATAGGTCTAATTTTGATTCATTCACACTGAATGGCTATTGTTGTGTTGGCTGTTGTCATCTTTTCATTTGACAATCTAAGGCAATGGTTCTCAACCTTCCTAATGCCGAGACCCTTTAATACAGTTCCTCATGTTGTGGTGACCCCCAACCATAAAATTATTTTCGTTGCTACTTCATAACTGTAATTTTGCTACTGTTATGAATCGTAATGTAAATATCTGATATGCAGGATGTATTTTCATTGTTACAAATTGAACATAATTAAAGCATAGTGATTAATCACAAAAACAATATAATTATATATGTGTTTTCCGATGGTCTTAGGCGACCCCTGTGAAAGGGTCATTCGACCCCCAAAGGGGTTGCGACCCACAGGTTGAGAACCACTGATCTAAGGGCAAAGAGGTCAGTGGCCCTGATTAAATAGTCAGGTACTGCATGTTTTAAAAGTTCTTGTGGCACATGGGTTGAAAATCGCTGATTTAGACTTGCCTGCACGTGCACTAAGACACCTCAAGGATGCTCACTTGGCAGTGCTGGTGGCAGCGGGAAATTGGAGACAAGTCAGATGCCCCTCGGGGGGTACTACATGGATGAAGGATGGTACATCCATCTATCGGGATACTTTATAGAAGCTGAAATGAAGGTGCTGGACTTATGTATATTGACACACATTAATCTCAGAAAAAAAGTTTAGTGCGAAAAGCAAGTTGCAAGAAGATATGTATGGTATAAAGTCATTTCTGTAACTCATAAAAACAAAAATCAATACAATGATGTATGAATGGGTGAGAAAGAATGGGTGGCAGGAAGGACCAACACCAACTTCTATCCAGGATAAGGTATACTTCTTCTTCTTTTTTTTTTTGGTTAATCACCACCTGAGGATATTTTTTTTTCAATTGTTTTTTTTTAGAGAGAGTGGGAGAGGAGAGAGAAAGAGAGAGATAAACATCAATGTAAGAGAGACACATCAGATAGTTGCCTCCCCTCCTTCCCCCCCTCCACTAGGGCCAGGTATCGAACCTGCAGCCCAGGTATGTTCCTCTGACCTGAATCAAACCCCAACATTCTAAGCACCGAGCCATGCTGGCCAGGGCAAGGTGACAGTATACTTTTGCTTGTTTATTTATTTCTTTTGTAAATTCTGACCGGAGGATATTTTTTCCCCCCATTGCTTTTCAGTGAGATTGGAAGGGAGGGGAGAGAGAGAGAGAGAGAAACATCAATTGAGGGACACGTCCACTGGTTGCCTCCTGCACAAGCCCTGACTGGGGGCAGGAGGCAACCTGTCACCCTGCGTGGCTGATGCTCAAACCACTGGGAAACACCAGCCAGAGCCAGTGTACTTCTTAAAAGTACAGGATGCAAAGGTGACTTCAACTATATCTGTAATCCGTTATTTCTTAAAAAAAGAAGAAAGAACAAGAAAGAGAAGAAGGAAATATAGCAAAATAGTAACACCTAAATCAGTGATGGCGAACCTATGACACGCGTGTCAGAGGTGACACGCGAACTCATTTTTTTGGTTGATTTTTCTTTGTTAAATGGCATTTAAATATATAAAATAAATATCAAAAATATAAGTCTTTGTTTTACTATGGTTGCAAATATAAAAAAATTTCTATATGTGACACGGCACCAGAGTTAAGTTAGGTTTTTTCAAAATGCTGACACGCCGAGCTCAAAAGGTTCGCCATCACTGACCTAAATTGTGGGTACATTGTCATATTTTTCTGTGTACTTTTCTATCTTTATTTAAAAATAAAAAGAATGGTTGGAAGATCTCATTAAAATGCTTAAAGAACAGAAGAAGGAGTGGGACTGTTTAATCTGAAAAAGGGAGAACTCAGAACAAGCTGAGAGATGTTCAGATATGAAAGTGTGGACTAGTCTTTCAGGGCCTTAAACACAGGAAAGAATCTTATCAATTGTGTTTCCAGCACCTCGTACAGAGCCTGACTTAAGCAGTCACTCCTCTTTGCAGCGTCAGGTCAGCGTAGCACCAGAACCAGGGAAAGCAGATGGACTGATTGGGAGCTAAGGAAGTGACTTGGAGCAATTACAGCTGAATGAATGGGAAATGGCCCTCACAGCAGGCTGCCAGGGCACTGGCTCTAGAATTTTCTACCTCCATCTGGAAACCCTGCTGCTTGTGAAAAACTGGTGAGCAGATCTAGGACAAAAATGAGGAGGTAGAGCCCAGCCGGAGTGGCTCAGTGGTTGAGTGTCGACCTATGAACCAGGAAGTCACAGTTCGATTCCCGATCAGGGCACATGCCTGGGTTGCTGGCTCCATCCACAGTGTGGGATGTGCAAAAGGCAGCCGATCAATGATTCTCTCTCATCATTGATGTTTGCCTCTCTCTCCCTCTCTGAAATCAATAAAAAAATATTTTTTAAAAATATTTTTTAAAAATGAGGAGGTAGATTTACTGGCTTTGCTGCTTGGCAGCCTGTCACTAGGGTTGCATGCTTCTGCATGAGCAGTTCCTACAACCTGGGCTCTCTTTCTCTGAAATCAATAAAAAATATTTTTTAAAAATATTTTTAAAAAATGAGGAGGTAGATTTACTGGCTTCTTTGCTGCTTGGCAGCTTGTCACTAGGGTTGCATGCTTCTGCATGAGAAGTTCCTACAACCTGGGATGTTCTTTCCCTCATTCCACAATAAGCAAACAGCTTCCTATCTTCCAAGTAGAGTCTTTCCTCCACTCTTTTATGCTTCCCCAACATACTACATACCTACCCCTAACATAGCATCTATCACATAAAATTGTAATTATTCGCTTGAACGTCTCCAGTAGACATTAGCGATTTTCATGTTTCCCATATTCACAACACCATGGATCAGGAACACAAAAATACTGGAAGAGTGGGAAGGGGTGGATAGATGGGGTAATGCAAGTAAAGTAAATGGAATGGAATGGAATTAAATGGATGGATGGGTGGGTGGATGGATGGATGGGTGGGTGGATGGATGGATGGATGGATGGGTGGGTGGCAGGAATGGATGGATGAGGTGAGATAGAATGGATAAGTTGAAAGTATGTTAGTATCCTTTAATTTGGAGTAACATTTGGTCAGATATCAAAGAATCTTATAGAAGTATTTTATAATTCTTCTAAGTCTAGTTATATTATAAAATTCCAAAACCCAATTCTACTTTGAAAGTTTTGCTTTTATATTATGTTTGTTAAGCTGCTAAGTAATGGTCTCTCAATTAATTCCTTCATCTCCATCACTGTTGCTCCTCCCAAAGAAATAGTTGGTATTCCTGAAATGCTCCATTTGAAAAATTCACAAAGAGAAGAATAAATAAAAAGGTGAAAAAACCAGGGACCAGAGAGATCTAAGAATCTATTTATTGGACTAAATGTAGACAAATTAAAAATATAGCATTGCATGTCTCTAACCCAGGGGTCCTCAAACTACGGCCTGCAGGCCACATGCAAATACAAATATTGTATTTGTTCCCATCATCACTGTTGCTCCTCCCAAAGAAATAGTTGGTATTCCTGAAATGCTCCATTTGAAAAATTCACAAAGAGAAGAATAAATAAAAAGGTGAGAAAACCAGGGACCAGAGAGATCTAAGAATCTATTTATTGGACTAAATGTAGACAAATTAAAAATATAGCATTGCATGTCTCTAACCCAGTGTTTCTCAAATGTCAATATGCACATGAATTACCTGGTAATTTTGTTAAATAAAATACAGATTATGGTTTAGTAAGCCTGGGGTGGGCCTGAGAGTCCACATTTCACAGGCTCTCCAGAAACGCTGGTGCTATTGGGCTGTGGACCACACTTGTACTATCAACTTCTAACCAACTAGAAAATACAGGGTGGGAAAAAGTAGGTTTACAGTTGTTCATATGGAAAATAATTCAATAATTACTAAATACAAGAATAAACTGTGTTTCCATAACAACTGTAATTCAATAATTACTAAATACAAGAATAAACTGTGTTTCCATATTCACAACTGTAATGTTGCCTCCTTTTGCCCACCCTGTATGATGGAAAATAATATATATTTTTAATAAAAGTAACTGGAATTCTAAAATATCCAGGAATTCATTTATAGGAGTTATCCACAGTGTTTATAGGGAGAAAAAAAAATAAACTCTATTAAGAAAGTCATAAAGGAGGACCTGAATTAGGGGAAATGATACAGCATGATCAGGGATGGGAGGACTTCTCAATGTAAAAATATCAATTCCTCCCAAATTAATATATAATTTAATGCAGAACACATTTTTTAAATTAAGATTTCTAAATGACATTTTGACTTGGTTGTACCCATCCCATTCCACCAGGCCAGCAGCTGGGCTCCATTCTACCCATGGTCCCCACAGCATCCATGGAAACTCCTTCTCCAGGCCCTTCCTAGGCTCCAAGAGGCCCCAAGAGCCATTGCACCCTCAGCCATCAAGGGCTGTGAACACAGTGATCTGAGGTGTTGGTTGGGATCACACTCCCAAGATTCCCAAGAATTCTGGTTTTAGAACTTGGTGCCAATTACTTTAACCACTCAGTCACCTTGTGTAGCAAATGGAGATAGTAATACCACCTCACAATGATCACTATGAATATTACAGGAGATAAAGTAACGCATGCCAAAGCGCAGTGTCAGATGTAAAACGTGCTCATAAACACAAGCTCTCCTTTCATTTCACCTGGATTGCACAAGCCCCCTAGTAACTGAATTTACTAAAAATCTACATGGCTCAGCCTTAGCTGATTTGGCTCAATGGATAGAGCATCGATTGGCCTGCGGACTGAAGGGTCTCGGGTTTGATTCTGGTCAAGGGCACATGCCCAGGTTGCAGGCTTGATTCTCAGTGTGGGGCATGCATGGGGCAGCCAATCAATGATTCTCTCTCATCATTGATGTTTCTCTCTCTCTCTCTCTCTCTCTCTCTCTCTCTCTCTCCCTTCCTCTCTGAAATCAGTAAAAATATATTTTAAAAAATCTACATGGCTCATGGTGGGAGTCTGTAGGACTAGTACAAGACAGGGCTCCACTGCCACTCCCCCAAACACCATGGGTCCTTCCTTATCCAACTGTGGCAAGATCTTCTCATCTGAATAGCTTTTTCTTCCCCTCGATATTCTTGGGAAAAGCTTCAGGCACTGCTGGGTGAGACCTGGTAATATTTATTAGCAAATGTCTCCCAACATCTTGTTCCAAACTAGTTCACCAAGAAATGAGGGTCCTTCCACATTTTGTGATGCCAGCCTCAGACAGAAGGTCTGTATGTGGTGAGCACAAGTAAAAGGGTTTGTCAATAATAAATGAGTAAATGATTGAATTATGCAAACTAATTATAATTATTTGGACAAATGAAGGCAAGAGGAGGCCTCCATTTGTTTATATAATACCCCACAAAGAGAAGAAAAAAAGAAGAAATGCCTATTATCTATTCAACTGTCTACTTCGCACTGTTTACATTAGAAAATACTCAAAACACTTCTGGCTTCCTAAGTTCTCACCTATAGGGAATGAGTAAGCAAATTGTAGCATTACCAGCAGATGAGATATTATTTAGCCCCCACAAATAAAGTTTATGGAAGGTTCTGAAGGACATTGGAAAGTGCATGTAATGACACATTAATCTCAGAACACACAATATGTGTCCAATAACTTTATCTATGTCAAAAAAAAATCTTAGAGAAAGGCTCTGATAAACCAAAATATGACCATGCTTGTTCCTAGTGATGGAATTAGAGGTCATTTTCCCTGTTTGTTTGGTACTTTTTAACTGCACTGAATTTTCTAAAAAACACACATATAACTTCTACAGTTAGAAAGTGTTTTTCATAAGCCACAACATAGACAAAAAATAAAGAAAGAAAAAAAAATCCGCAACAAAAAGTGAGGTGTGCAGGGAGCAGTTTGCTTTGGCACCAGCAGAGCGGCCAGTAGGTAGAAGGCAAAGATACTGGGGCACACACACACTACAGCAGCATCACCCGCCCGTCGCTCTCCCTGCCACAGTCTTCACTCAGCTCGTCCACAACAGTCATCTCTACTCACCATGTAAAGACTTTAAGGGTTTTCCTACTCTGACTGCCTTTACCGGATCATACGCCTGGCTCCACTCATGTTTGGCCGGACTGCTTTGTTCGGATGGTCTCTTCTCATTTGAAAACAAATGTTTCACTTCGTCTGGAATGCAGGATGAAAAAAGAATCATTGATCCAATCAACCAGAAGTACTTCCTGGATGCCTACTATGTGACAATGACTCTGTGGGTGTTGGAGATGGAGCAACGGGGAAGAGAGGTCAGGCTCCGGGCCTCCTGGAGTTGTTGTTTAGGGGGCTGCTTCAAAATACCAGGAGACTCAAACCTCAACAGGCAATGGCTTCTTCCAGACAAGACCTCTAAGTGCTGGACATATATTATTCCATGTAACCATCACAGTTCACTTGAAGGAAAGCATTCCCACTCCCCCATTTCACAGATGACACTCAGGTAACTGTCCTGGGGCCGAGAACTGGCCTGAGCAAAGTCAGGACTACACCCCGAGCATTTGTCCCCAGCGTGGAGACGACCCTTCATGCATGTCGGTCACTTCTGTCAAAGTGGGGCTTGGCTTACACATGGCAGCAACCAGCATGTGTGGAATGATGAGTGCGCAGAGGAAGGGAATGAATGAGTGGAGATGATGGAAGCTCTAAGAAAGATGTGGGGACAAAGAAGTGAAATCAGGTCGTGCTGAAGGATGGATAAAAACTTTGGAGAAAGAAATGGGGCTAAGGGCCCCCTCCCTATACCAGATGCCTGAAGGCTGGCCCTGCCATGAGGAAAAGCCTCGTGTCTTCAGGGCCCAGGGGATGGACCAGGTATGGTGTGGGAGAGGCAATGAGAAAGGAGCCTTGGGGAACAAATGATAAGGTGCCTTCAAGGCTGGACTCAGAAATCAGACTTGTTCTCCCCTAAGTCACTGGCAAACCATAAAAAATTGCAGAGTAATGAAGTGCCAGGGTAAAGGGTGATGTAGAAAGGTCATGGAACAATGACAGAAGAGAGAAAGCAGGAATAGAGCTGGGTGTGCAGAGAAGAGCCAGCCGAGGGAGAGAAGCTCAGAGAATAACACACAGGCAGGGACACCAACGAAGTGTCGGTGGGTGGGTGGCCAAGAGCTGAGGACATAGCAGGAGTCAACTGTGACTTGGGGAGCTTCAAGAATGAGGTAATTTTTATCCAATACCAAGATACCAAGAGATGGAGCAGATTTTATAGAAGAGAAATGCTAACTCTTGGCTGGCATGCTCCAATTCAACACCAGCAGACTGAAGCTAACAAATTCTGGCACGTGACCTACAGTGTATTCAAATAAATTTCATATCTCCTGGATAACAAACCTCATATGGTAGTTCTGCACTACCATACGTACTTTCCAGAAGAAAGTTTTTAAGTGATAAAAGGCAGGACTTAAGACAGCATGTGTAGTAGAGTCATTTTTGTTAACGTGTTGTACCCACATAGACAGTGACGGGGAAATGTTAGCAATGGCTCTCTGTGGTCAGGCATCAGATGATCTTCAATTTCTTCTTCTTTGAGCTAGTCTATTTCTAAATTTTTTTCAAAGCAAACATACACTGATTTTTGTAATAGAAAAAAATCGCTAAACAGATGCAGATGATGCTAAACTTGGACAAGGTTTGAAGAAAGGCAGGTGCTCTTATTTCAAGAAGGCGAAGCAAAGGGCCTGTGGCCCCTCCCAGCAGGGCCTACAACACCCTTCCTCCTTGGTTTTCTGGCCAGCTGACTCCATTTACCCTTCCAACCTTGGCTCCCATGGCCCCTTCTGCAGGAAGCCATCTTCATACACACGTCCCAGCACCTCTGCTTCAACGTGAGGCCCCTGCAGGACAGATGTTTACCAGAAATTCTGCTCAGCAGCTCTGGGACAGGCCTGGAACCTGCCTTCAGGCAGCACTCCCAGTGCATCTAATGCAAGTGGTTTAGAGCCCACACTTTGAGGTCCTGGGTCTTTCTTTGGTACAAGTGAGAAAGTCCGCTTGAATCCGATGTTCTCACACAGGAACCCTACAATTAGTAATTTACATACGAACCAGTGGTTATCAGCAAGGGGTAGTTTTGTCCCCCACTCCCATCAGCGGACAACGTCCAAAGAAATTCTTGATTTGTCACAACTGGGGGGCTACTTCTGGCAGCCAGAGATGCTGCCAGACATGCTCCAATGCACAGGACAGTCCCATAACAAGGAAGGATCAGACCCAAATGCCAGTGGTGCCGGGGGTAAAAAAAAACCCTGGATGCAAATGAAATATTAAAAGCTGGAAACCCTGTCGTAGCTGGTTTGGCTCCATGGGTAGAGTGTCAGCCTGTGGACTGAAGGGTCCCAGGTTTGATTTGGGTCAAGGGCACATGCCTGGGTTGTGGGTTCAGTCCCCAGTAGGGGGCATGCAGGAGGCAGCCGATCAATGATTCTCTCTCATCATTGATGTTTCTATCTCTTTCTTCCTCTCCTTTCCTCTCTGAAATCAATCTATCATAATAAAAGGGTAATATGCTAATTAGACTGGATGTCCTTCTGGAAGACCTTCCAGACAAAGCCCAGGCTGCAAGGGAAGCCAGGGTCCTGGGTGCCAGAGGGAAGCTGGTGCCAGCAGCTGACGGAAGGAAGGCCTACTCTTGCATGAATTTCATGCATTGGGCCTCTAGTATATCCTATATAATAAAAGGCTAATATACAAATTGTCCCCTAGACTGGGAGTTTGACTGGGAGTTCAACCTGGAGTTTGACCAGAGGTGGGGACGGCCGGCCAACTGCCCATGGCTCTTTCCCCCTGCCAGCCAGGCACCAGCGGCCTGGGCCAGCTGAAGCTAACAAATTCTGGCACGTGACCTACAGTGTATTCAAATAAATTTCATATCTCCTGGATAACAAACCTCATATGGTAGTTCTGCACTACCATACGTACTTTCCAGAAGAAAGTTTTTAAGTGATAAAAGGCAGGACTTAAGACAGCATGTGTAGTAGAGTCATTTTTGTTAACGTGTTGTACCCACATAGACAGTGACGGGGAAATGTTAGCAATGGCTCTCTGTGGTCAGGCATCAGATGATCTTCAATTTCTTCTTCTTTGAGCTAGTCTATTTCTAAATTTTTTTCAAAGCAAACATACACTGATTTTTGTAATAGAAAAAAATCGCTAAACAGATGCAGATGATGCTAAACTTGGACAAGGTTTGAAGAAAGGCAGGTGCTCTTATTTCAAGAAGGCGAAGCAAAGGGCCTGTGGCCCCTCCCAGCAGGGCCTACAACACCCTTCCTCCTTGGTTTTCTGGCCAGCTGACTCCATTTACCCTTCCAACCTTGGCTCCCATGGCCCCTTCTGCAGGAAGCCATCTTCATACACACGTCCCAGCACCTCTGCTTCAACGTGAGGCCCCTGCAGGACAGATGTTTACCAGAAATTCTGCTCAGCAGCTCTGGGACAGGCCTGGAACCTGCCTTCAGGCAGCACTCCCAGTGCATCTAATGCAAGTGGTTTAGAGCCCACACTTTGAGGTCCTGGGTCTTTCTTTGGTACAAGTGAGAAAGTCCGCTTGAATCCGATGTTCTCACACAGGAACCCTACAATTAGTAGTTTACATACGTACGAACCAGTGGTTATCAGCAAGGGGTAGTTTTGTCCCCCACTCCCATCAGCGGACAACGTCCAAAGAAATTCTTGATTTGTCACAACTAGGAGGCTACTTTTGGCAGCCAGAGATGCTGCCAGACATGCTCCAATGCACAGGACAGTCCCATAACAAGGAAGGATCAGACCCAAATGCCAGTGGTGCTGGGGGTAAAAAAAACCCTGGATGCAAATGAAATATTAAAAGCTGGAAACCCTGTCGTAGCTGGTTTGGCTCAGTGGGTAGAGTGTCAGCCTGTGGACTGAAGGGTCCCAGGTTTGATTTGGGTCAAGGTCACATGCCTGGGTTGTGGGTTCAGTCCCCAGTAGGGGGCATGCAGGAGGCAGCCGATCAATGATTCTCTCTCATCATTGATGTTTCTATCTCTTTCTTCCTCTCCTTTCCTCTCTGAAATC